TAGAACTTGAAGTATAATGAAAAAAAAGATAACAAAAAAATAACATTTTCAAGTTATTTGTCATAATCCATTTGTAGACATAAAAATTAGTGGGTGATTACCAATGATTTTCAACAAAAAAGAACAGACATGATTAGAATAAAAATAACAGAGAGGATTTCCTGTAGTAAGCCTAAGTACATTATTATTTTTTAAGATACTTAATAGGTGTGTATGTGTGTGTGTTTACATGCACATGCACATGCACATAGTTTGTAGTGGATTAAAATGTTTCTTTTTTTTTTTTGAGACGGAGTCTCGCTCTGTGGCCCAGGCTGGAGTGCAGTGGCCGGATCTCAGCTCACTGCAAGCTCCGCCTCCTGGGTTTACGCCATTCTCCTGCCTCAGCCTCCCGAGTAGCTGGGACTACAGGTGCCCGCCATCTCGCCCGGCTAGTTTTTTGTATTTTTTTAGTAGAGGCGGGGTTTCACTGGGTTAGCCAGGATGGTCTCGATCTCCTGACCTCGTGATCCGCCCGTCTCAGCCTCCCAAAGTGCTGGGATCACAGGCTTGAGCCCCCGCGCCCGGCCTACTGGATTAAAATGTTTCTAATGGTAGATCACAAATGAGAAATTTAAAACCCACTATCTTCCTTTATAAACTAGTTGGCTTATCTGAAATTCAAACTTCACATTTCACATGAAGGGTATTTTCTACCTTTGTTAATGCAGGCTCCCCTCTGTTGTTCACATGACTAACTGAAACTAACTGCTTTTACTCTTAATCTTCTCCAATCTTTCCTAAACACTCTGCCAATATGCTTTTTCTGGAATATGATTTTGAATTTTTGATCCCCTAATTGGAATACATTAATATCCACAGCATTTTCCTCAATGCGTTCTATGGATTTGACAAGCGGCATCATCATTCCTTCTTTGCTGTTCCCTCTCTTTGGTGACCTTATTGAACTTCTGTTTCTCCAACTTCCTTTTGTTCGTTGTGCTCCGGTGCCCACCCCTTCTCTGTTTGTGGAGCAGGCCAATCTCTTACCTGCTGTAAGGACTTTGCACTTATTATTTCCTGCAGTCTCCTAGCTTTTCTTGTGGTCATGCTCATCCCTCATATCTCAGGTCAAGCTTTCTGCCCTCAGTGAGATAGCCTAGACTCAGGGTTGACAGATGTATTAGGCTGATGCAAACGTAATTGTGGCAATTACTTTTAATGGCAAAAACTGCAATTACTTTTGCAGCAACCTAATAACAAATAAAAAGCAACCTAATTACAAACATGAAGTTAAGTTTGAATTTCAAATGAACTATTTGATATTTTCACAGCTTTTATATTCCCCATCCCCACATCTCCCCAGTTTAGATTGAGTATTGACTCCATGTGTGTTCACAATTTTATAGACTCAATGCTCCTTTTATTTAAAAATAAATTCTAAGTCACTTCTCCTTTATAATTATAGGTGCACTTCATTAATATAATGTTTTTTAAATTTAATTTATTGAGATTTGTTGTTTGAACTTTAACACTTAAAACATTAATAATGTTTAATATTTAATTGTAATAGTTCAAAATATACCAACTAATAACATACTATAATTATTAAAAATGTATATATATTTCATATGATGTGTAATGTATTAAGTGAATACTTGTGAGAAGAATTTCTACTCATTACTCCAATAATTGCTTTGTGCAAGCACTTTTTATCACATACACCACATTTCATTAAAAGTTTCATTTCTATCTCTCTTACTAGTGTAAAGAAATAATTTTTTCTTATTCATCTTTCTTTACTTAGTACTTAGCATATCTGACCTACAGTAGATTCTCAATTAAAAAGCTGAATTGAATTACTCTATTTTACTAGTCTTCACAATAAATAAAAGGAATAAGTTAGGATAACAGTGGAAATAAACAAAATACATGTGGAAAAAATTTTTCAAATAAAATCAAAACAAAAATAGAATATGGTGGAGAAAAAAATTTTAAGTCAAAATGACACATGCAATTTTGCTATAGGTTGTTTATTATAATATTATAAATAAGTTAAATGGAATTATAATCAGCTACACACGTAATTTTGGAAATCTGTTTGATGATGTAGATAATATTTTTTTGTTTTAAGTGAAACAAAGCAGTTGATAAAATAATATACATATTCAATATACAAATACATATACCATATGTACCTGGAGGATATACATCAAAATATCATCTCAGGCTGGTGAACTTTAGGAGTTTCTTTATATTCTGTTTTCATTAGTCCTATTTTATGAATTTTATATTATATCATGAAACATATATTGCTATGTAATAAGAAAAATTATCAATTTTCAGAAATTGCAGATGAAATATCAACCTTTGCAGCACAAAAGATAGGAGAACTCCCAAAGGAAAAAGAAAAGTCAGGAAATGTAAATGAAAGTTAACGAGTTCTTATTTTTGCTTTTCTTCCCTCTTTCTATTATGAAATATTTTTAACATATAGAAATAATTTTTCCATCTGACCAGCAAATAAAAGATTTTCTTTTTTAAAAATGGACTCAAATCAGGGACATTCAACAGCAATTTAGACCTTTAATACTTTTTCTGTTTTTTTAAAAAAAGGAGGGGTAGGGGAGAGCAATTTAGAATGGAGAACAACCTGAGAATCACTGTCATGTGATAGGTCAAGAAAAGAAGCAAATGTAGAAAAAGAAATGGATTATTTTCAGACTAAGCAGTTTGCTTAGTCACTTTTTATATATTGACTCCTTTGGTCTTCAGGCTAATCCTATGAAGTAGATATTATATCTAATTCACCAGTGTTGAGACAGGTTCACAGTGGTTAAGGGGCAGCAGCTCCTGTGGTTGTTACAGTAGTAGAAGAAATATCAGAGGGCAAAATATTATCTACTACCAGCCAATGAGCAATAATATGTGCAAAGACAGTGCCAGAGCTTTGAATGTATTTACTTTAATACATTTAATGAAATTAATAAAATGTTTAAAGGAAAGTGTGTAGTAGAAGAGAATTGAAAATAGGATCTTAAGGAACAGTCCATTTTGGGGAATAGGAAAAAGAGGAGTCCAAAAAACAAAGGGCCTAATGATTGAAAAGTAAAAGACAAACCAAACAAATGCCAGAGTTTTCATGAAAAAGAAACTGTTGTGAACTGCAATAAGATTGAGGAAGATGCAGGTGAAATTGTTAATGATTAAATCTTGGACTTTCCCAAACTACAGTGTTGTTTGTCTCCACCCTCTATCTCGATCGTTCTTATAAATTTCTGGATCCTGGCTAAAAATGATTCTCCCATTCGTTTGGGCTCAAAATGTTTATACTCAGCAATGTCTTTTTTCTCATGACATTATCTGGCAAAGTACGAATAACTCTTTTCCATTTTGCAACATCCCGTTACAACTTTTATCTAGATGAAATATGATACTTCCACTTTAGGTAGCTGGTCATCATATTGTTGTACCTACTTATACAGTCTTATCAAATCATTCTGAAATTTAGCTACAAAACTGCATACTTTGCTTCACTGAAGAGCTTAGTTGTGACTGTGTCCTCTTTATCCAAATCATTATAACAACTATAAAATTAGACATGTTCAGTACCAATCCAATGAAATCTCATTGGCAATATTTAACCAGCAAATAAATATTATTCATGTTTTACATACCCAATGTTTAACATTACATTTCCTCTAATCCATACTGAATCTGTAAAAAGAAGAACAATATTGGGTGTTGACATGGTTTGGCTGTATCCCCATTCAAATCTCAATTTCAGTTGTATCTCCCAGAATTACCATGTGTTGTGGGAGGGACTCAAGCGGAGGTAGTCGAATCATGAGGGCTGGTCTTTCCCGTGCTATTCTTGTGATAATGAATAAGTCTCACAAGATCTGATGGGTTTATCAGGGGTTTCTGCTTTTGCTTCTTACTCATTCTGTCTTGCTACCGCCATGTAAGAAGTGCCTTTTGCCCTCCACCATGATTATGAGACCTCCCCAACCATGTGGAACTGTAAGTCAAATTAAACCTCCTTTTCTTTCCAGTCTACGGTATGTCTTTATCAGCTGCATAAAAATGGACTAATACAGGCATGATCTGGAAAAAGCTTTTCAAAAGTATAAATGATTTTCACATAACAATTGAAAGAAAATCGGTAAGTTCTTATCTATTTCACATTGGACATGGTAACTAAGAGACATTTCCATTTTAGTTTTTCTCAGTGGTCCTTGCTGATTGAGATATCTAATAATCCTATCCTTTATTATCATTGTCTCACGCTTTGTTCATGACTGCTTTTCAGAGATTTCCATGGAATGATGTCATTCTTTATGGTGATTAAATGGTGGCTCATGTAACTTGATTCTCCTAGCCTGCCTCACTCCAGAGGATTTTCAAAGTTAACGCTTTCAGAGTTACTTAGATTTTAAAGTCTTTTCTTCCCTCTGGGGCCTCAAACTATTGTCAGAGTATGCAAAATACAGCTGAACTATCTCAACAATTTTCAAACCTATCAGGTCTTGTCCAATTTGGGAGATAACTTCTTGGTAATTAACTCACCCTCCACCAGGCTTCCTGTCTCTTGTATTTCCTGATTCTATGCCTCTAGTCTATGAGTCAAGTAACACTTTCTTGGATTCTTATCAAAGACAGCCCCATCACCCTCAAGGACTTGCTGAACTACTCTCCAACATTGCTAGCAAGTTCCTGAAAACCAATGCCCCTTAGTGCTGAGCTTCAGTTTCTTCACAGACCATTCTCCACAGTTTCCCTCAAAAGCCAGATCGTTGTTTCCTCTTTTAACACTGTCAAAGATAAACAAAGCTGGACATTAGTTAAAGGGTTGAAAATATTGTATTCTCTAACTACTGACAGTAAGGAAAAGAGCTAAACTTCATTCCGATTTGCTGAAAATGATATGGAATTTTAAAGAGAGAATAGGGTGTAGGGAGGGAGAAGAAGAGGGAACTCAATTGAAAAATTACAAAGTGGTGGTCAGTACAAATGTGATTAGGGAAGCTCGGTCTGCTAGTTGGCAATTATGGAAGTTAGGATTCTTTCCTTCCCCAGAGACTGTCAGACAGAGGTCCTGTCCCTGCTGATGATTATATTTCAAAGGAACGGCTTTCAGATACTTAGAAAGACACTCTTGAGTTGTAGGAGATACATATACATCTCGAAGGGACAGAGGAAGGATTCAGAATTGTAAACCTCGTTTAGCAAATGCTGTAAGAAGAGAGGTCAGGGACCTGTGGTCAGGTGTTGCCTAAAACAAGCACTAACTTCTTTTGACAGCCTTGAGGTTTTTCAGATAGACAGAAACTCGAAGTGGGGGCTAGGTTGTTCCAGGAAAGTGGCCCTAAGCTACCAGAAGTTGTGTTAAAGTTTGGTGAAGTCTCTTAGTTTAGGGATTCAAATGGGATATTCATTTAGAGAGTTTTTGCAGTTGTCAAAACAACTGCAAAACATCTATCCCTAGAAAGTGCTGTCCTTCATTTGTCCCTGGATTCACAAGTTGGGGAATGGTGAAAATGGTCTTCAAAGCCTGTTATTCCAGGAAAGCATATTTCTGAGGGAGCAGAGGCTCCTACTGTCCTTTAGAATGTACACCCAGATTTGAAACAGCTGATTTCATATTCTTTTATAAAAACTTAAAATGATCAGTAATATTTCATCTGCGAATGATGAGAAAGCATTACTGAACCAAGCAGTAGACAAAGGAACTCCAATGCAGAGGGTTTATAGATGACCAAAGTGAAAGAATATGCTTTGATTTGTATCTGTAGTTGCCAGGATAATAAATCTTAACATTTATCTAAACAACCCTAACATTTTGGTTGATTTCTTTTCAAGACGCCATTTATCATTTGTACCTGTTATCTACCAAATTTTCTTTTAGCATATGCTTGCCAACAGTTTAGTGTAATGTCTAATTCTGAAGTGCTGGGATTCGGCTGGTGTCATCTGAGTCCCAGACTGTCTTGGCCATAATGCAGCAGGGACGATCTATTAACCATTCATATTCAGAGTTAGGGGTCATAGGAAATATGTGATAGGCTGTGACTCTTTTAATACCCTATAATGCAAAAAATTAAACTTGTCCTTTCTCGTTTCTTCAAAGGATGGGTTTAAACTAAATCTTAACCAAAAAATTAATATAAGGCTGTTAAAACATGGAACAGTTCTGGCAAAAATTGAAGGAGATATCCAGATCCCACTTACTCATCAACAGAGGACACCCCTCTCCCTGTGGAAATCCATCATACAATTCTGTAAACGTATAGGAGTCTGTAGAAAACTTTGCAAACAACTGGTTAGATGAGAACCACTAAGTTTCATTGTGCATAAAGGCATATGGGGCTGATGCCCAGCAAAGGCAGAGACCTTCAAGCCTGGTATACTTCCAAGGCTATGTGTTTCTGGAGAAATTCTTCCCAGGCTGCAGGCCCAGCATCTTTGAAGCTCTGTGCCCTGAAAAGGAGCCCTGAAGTCATCTAAGGTTTCTTAGCTCTAAAAGTTTTCCTCTTTGGATTAGGCCCTTCATCTAAATTTAGTGCTGGACGATTCATAAACTTTCTCTCTATTATATTCTCTCCTTGTAAAGTCTTCAGTATGCAGTCATTTGTTGATCAAATAGACGTTTAAATAACGTTATAATGCTGTGATAGACTCTGAATGTTTGCCTTTTATATGAACATTGGAACCTCATTTAAATATACCTGAGAGCTATAATTTAATGTATTTCATACTTCAGGAATTTCATGAACAGATTGTTGAATAGATCTTCTTTTTTGTTATTTAGTTTTTATTTCATAATTATAAACTTAATGCTGCAATCCAGTGAGGCATGTAAGGGAATAAGGAAAATACGGAAGCCAAAGGAACTGCAGTGACAGCACAAAGATTCTAGGATGCTGCAAGCAAATGAGGCGGAGGGGTGCTCTCCTGAGTTATAGAAAGAATGGTTTGGTGGTTAAGACAAAACACAAGTCAAATTTATTCGAGTTGTCCACAGTCAGCAGTGGTGATCTTCTTGCTGGTCTTGCCATTCCTGGACCCAATGCACTTCATGGCCTCCACAATATTCATGCCATCTTTCACCTTGCTAAAGACCACATGCTTGCCATCTAACCACTGTCTTGGCAGTGCAGATGAAGAACTGGGAATCATTTGTGTTGGATACAGAATTTGCCATGGGCAAGATGCTAGACCTGTATGCGTCAGCTTGAAGTTCTCATCAAATGTCTCCCCATAGATGGACCTGCCACCAGTGCTATTCTGGCATGTGAACTCACCACCCTGACACATAAACCCTGGAATAATTCTGCAAAAGCAGGAACCCTTATAACAAGTCCTTTCTCTTCAGTGCTCAGAGCACTACAGGTTTCTGCTGTCTTTGGAATTTTGTCTGCAAACAGCCAGAAGGAGTTGGGGCCCAAGGGCTCACCACAGATGGCAATGTAGAAGAATGCGGTGGGGTTGACCATGGCTGGTAACAGGGGACTCTGGTCGGCCAGCAGCATCTGTAAAGCCCAGATTCTTCAATAAATCTTACATTTTAAACACAATACTACTATTTTAGAAGTACAGATGGTCACTGACTTACAATACTTACTATTTTTCAACTTTATAATGGTGAAAAAGCAAAATGCTTTTCACCATAGCAGAAACTATGTTGAGTACCTATACAACCATCCTGTTTTTCACTTTCAGTATATCATTCAATAAATTACATGAGATATCCAGCAGTTTATTATAAAATAGGCTTTGTGTTAGATAATTTTGTCTAACTACAGGTTAATTTAAGTTTTCTGAGCTCATTTAAGCTAGGCTAGGCTAAGCTATGATGCTCAGTAGGTTTGGTGTATTAAGTGCATTTTTGGCTGAATGATATTTTCAACATACAATGGATTTATGGAGATGTAACCCCATCAAGTCAAGGGGCATCTGTATAGAAAATCAATTTTATAAAAAGTATCATGAAAGAGTAATATAGCAATGACATACCTTTTTTTTTTTTTTTTTCAGAAAATGAAGAGATTCTATTTTAACAGTCCTAAAGATCTAATTGTTAAAGAATTCTTCATAGGTTCCCCTTACTGAATCAGAACACCAATATTCATTACTGTTTAAAATAGTCAAATCTGTTTTAAACAAATTAACAAATAGTTAAGGAAAAATGCATATTATTTTATGTTATTTTATATAATTTGCAAGTATATAGATATTCTTACGTGGGAAATACAGCTACCACATGCCTTGCTTGTATATCAGAGCTCAGAATAGTTAAAAATTCTCGTAAGTTCACTATAGTTCAGATGAAAAGGTCTAAGAGTCTTATCCAAGCAGCTGTGGTTCCTATTTGAATTTTAGCCTAGATTATTAAAACCTCAAACCACAAAATCCCCCTAGGAAATCTTGCATAAGCATTGTTCTCATTGAAAAAGGCTGGGATCAGAAAGGAAACAAGAGGTTTATGCTTTAGTTGGCTTTAAAACATCAAAAAACAAGTGGTCAATTCTCCTTCAGATGTGTGTTCATAACCCCTTTTAAAGGCAATGAAAATTATATGTGTGGATTTGGAGAGAATATACCCCCAAGTAAGCAAATTAAGAAATGCCAAGAACAACCAAAGATTTTGCTTCAAAAAATTGGCCTAAACAATAGTTATTAAAAAAATAATTTTATGCAATATGTCAAGTAAATGTATTCATCTGTGATAGAATTTCTGTGACCAATTGGTAGGAAATATTTTTAAAATAGCTTCGCCATATTTCTTTTCTGATTTTGACTAGAAAAAATTCAGTTGCTAACCTATTTTTTAAAAAGCCATTGTTTATGTTTCTCTGAATGAAGCAAATATCTCATAATTCAAAAACTGGTTATTTTTCTACTAGGGCCTGATGGGTGCATTTTCAAGTTACTAATGACACAGCATGTAAACCTTTTTGTGGAAAGAGCTTCTGAAACAGTAACGCTTTAGATATAGATTTTTATCACTGTGAGAGGAGGTAATATTCTTGAATATCACTCAGAATGCATCTGATAGACAATATTAATTTAGCAGAGGAGGTAAGGAAGGAAGGAACAGACAGGGAGTCATTATTTTTGAGGAAGTGGGTAGGGAGTTCTGCCGAAAATACTCCTCACTGTATCCAAACCACAAAGGTTTACTAAACAGAAATTTAAATCAAAAGGCAAACAGGATGTTCATCTGGGACACATTTTTGGACACATACTTTTAATACCACATAAAAGCTGCACCAGCCAGATGTGAAAGCAATGAAATTTAAACAAAAAAACAAACAATAAAGTAAGAAGTGAAATTGGATGAGAGCCCTCAACGTAGAGCACTTCCTCAGTGAAGTGACTAGATCACAGAGGGTGCAACTGACTCTGAGGAAGAGGTGGGGCAGGTTCTGGAGGCCTGTGTTTTCTCACAATGGAAGAAGTAAAATAGCAATCTGGTTTCAGGAAACAGTGAGCTTTGGCAGCCTCTGCTTTCTGGATTTCTTACATTATCTATTTTAGACTGAAGTGGAAACTTATTAAAGCCAACACTTTAATATCAGATCAGCTGCAGGAAGGAAAACAGAGAAAAAAGTGTTGGTACATATTGTACCCTGAACATCATGAAGCAAGAAATGAATAACAATTCCTATGAGCTATCTAAGGCTAGTCATCCTATCACAAATACAGAATGATAATGTCATGACTACTCGGAACTCTTAAGAATTTGGAAGTAACAAAGTCTTGTTAAGACAAGAAAAATAGGAGAGGTGATAGTAACATACAACTGTTGTATTTTTCACACAGTTGGAAGATAAATTTTTAGGGTATCATTTATTTATTTCCAATATTCTTAATTTTAATATTTTAAAATTACAAATGAGAGGTAGTTAGGCAGCCATAAAAGCCATTACTTGAGTTTCGTGTGTCCTAAAATAGCAAATTTTGAGCATTTAAATTCTCCATACTTTTTTTAAGTAAATAGAATTCTCATAGTCCCAAGCCCAATGTAACAATCTCTGGGTCTCTTCTCCGAGTTGTGATCAACCCTGGCAGATTCTATCTACCAAATTTCCAAATAAGGTGTCTGTTACATCTGAATTTTTATATTGAACATAACAGTCTAAAATATGTATAGGCCATTTGTATTTTTTCCCTCTGATACGTTTTGGAAATCGGGAATTAAAACTACTAAGAGTTTGATTGCGTCAATGTTTATTTTTTTAAAGCTTTATTCTGCTATATTCTTAAAAATTAAGGTGAATAATTCTTAAAGTAAATGTTAGAAGTTATTTTTGATAATGACCAAATCAGATGTTTTATATCCTGTGACACGAAGAAATATGTTTGGGAAAAGATCAAAACAAGACATAATTATTTTAGAGAAACAGATTATTGAGATTCAGTGTTAAATAACATTAGAAGTAATTGAAGTTTGCATTATTTCTCTAAAAATTATTGCTTGTTTTGTATAACTTTTATGTATTTTTGAGATATTTTTGCTTTTCTAAATAAAACAGAGATTGAGCTGCCATGGTTTGTAAAACAATCATAACCATAAAATACTTTAAAACAGAGCAGTGAGTGAATATTGATTTAAACCCAAGATAAACATGGTTGCATTTTCCTTTATTTTCCATTTCGTTAAAATGAATATATAACGTTGCTATTCATTTTTATTCATTCAGTTGATTTATCATGTATTTTTCTCATAACAATTTATTGGCCATTTTTTAGAACCCAAATTATTTGAGATATCATTAGGTTTTATTTTCCTTTAATGCTTTTAAGCTTTGCTTTTCAGAAATTAATGTACTGATTTGTTGTTAAAATTTAGAAGTTTATAGCAAGTCTTGTCATATTAAATATGTTAAAGAGGCACCTGTAGTCATTTTATACTGATGCATAACGTATTGCCAAAAACTTAGCAAGTTTTAAAACATCACATATTTATTATCTCAGAGTCACTGTGGATCAGAAGTACAGGCTCACTTTTACTGGATCATCGGCTCAAACTCACAAGGATGAGAACATTAAGGTGAGTGCCAGGCTGCATTCCTTTCTGAAGCTAAGGGCCTATTCCAAGCTCACAGGAGTACTGGAAGAAATCAACTCCTTGTGATTATAAGACTGACTTCCCTGTTTTCTTGCTGCTGGAAACTGGGGCTACTCTCAGCTTCCAGACCACCAAGGTTCCCTGTCAGGTGACGCTCTCAGAAGTCCTCTCGTAACATGGCATCTTAGTTTTTCGAAGCCGGCAAGGGAGACACTCCGGCTCTTGTCTCCTAAAAGAAGTCTTATAAAGCATAGAACAAACATGGGAGTGATATCCTACCTTTGCCATATTCTTTTGACGGAAAACAAATCATAGGCCCTTCCCTCAATCAAAGGGAAGAAATTATATGAGGCATAACACCAGGATGGAGGTCATCGGGGCCTGTTTTCAAATCCTGTCTATGGCATATAATAATGTCTATAGGTTTACTAATTTTCAAAGACAAAGACATGCTTATGAGAAAATATTTTAGACATTCAAACTATTACTATAAATCTGGGAGATGTTTACTTTCCTTTACACATTGAAGTTATTTGTATCTTAATTTTAATTTGATATTATTCAATATAATTAACTGCATGACACACTTAAAGAAGGAAAAATACAGATACAATTTGGCTCCCTATAAAATCAAAAAGCCACACTTAAATATTTGCTTCAAATCATTTATTACATTTCATAAGAATACTTTTACTCTAAAATAATACATTATAGCTTTCCTCCTTTGTACTATTTTGAAATTCACTTCTTTTTAACATTTTGTTTAAAACGAATGAGATTTTTCTAATTTCTTTTGCCATTTATCCTTTCAATACATATATATTGAGTCTCCTCTACATTTTATGATTTTTACTAAGTCCTGAGAATGTAAACTAAAGACTAGTGAAGAGTTGTTACACCTCTGCTAATTACTAGCAGTTTAACATTCAACAGATTGCTTAACCCCTCGGAACCTTAGTTTACTCAACTTTATATATATATATATATATATATATATATATATATATATATATATGATGCCATTTAATTTGGCAAAATCATATTTAGTTTCTACAATATTCCAGTCATCATGGAAGGCCTGAATATCCTGAGATAAAAGATATAGCAAATGCCTTTTGAAAGTCTGTCTAGTGAGTAAGACAGAGTTAATACTGTTACCACTAGGAAGAACACAAAAAAAGACATGGGAAGAGGTAAAATCTGAGATGAATTTTGATGGATCAGTTAAAGTAAGCCAACGGTGTCAGATGAATTTAATAGTAAACACAAACAGGTGCATGAGACAGCATGCGTATTAGGGGAACTGCAAATAAATCAGTTAGATGAAATGTGGTATGTAGACACAGAGTTGTATGAAAATAAAGTATCTAGATAAGCACAGGCCAGATCACACAGGACCGGCTGAAAAGCTCACACTGCACCCTGAAAGTAATGAGGCACATAAAGATGTTAAGTGAGGAGTAAAACAATAACCTTTATGCTCTGGAAAGCTTACTGTGCATGATGTAGGAAATGTAGAGAGGAAACCCCATGCAGACGAATTAGGAAGGCTATTGCAGGAAGCAGGACAAAGGGATAAAAACAGGACTGGTAGAGGTGGTAAGGATGGGATAGACATGAGACGTGAAAGCCAGAGCATATCTAGGACTTCATGGCTAATTGGAGATGGGACTTGAGGAAAACAAAATTAATCAGTATTATCTAATAATAGACATAGAAGGGCAAGAGAAGTTTGGGGGAAAAAGGAAAGATGAGTTTTATGTGGGGAATATTCGTTTGAACTTGAGATATCTTTGGAACGTATTCCCAGCAGATAATATGATACATAACTGTAGATCTTAGGAGAAATCTATATGATAAGGTATAGATTAGGGGTTTATCAATGTTTCTGTATCTAGAATATTTATACGTTTATCCAGGGAAAGTAAAAAATATAAAAGGAAAATGAGACTGTGAACTTTAAAAGGTCTCTAAGGTGTGTCAGAGTAAATAGAGTACATAAAGGACCCCAAGAAACACTGGCCAGAGTTGTGAGTAAAAAGCAGGCCACAAAAATATCACAGAAACTGCACAGCTATAGAGAATGAAGAAAGAAGTAAGGAATCACATACCAAATGCTATAGGAGATAGAGTCAGAATAAAGACCAGAAAAGAGACTATTGATAACACCTGTGGTGACTTTGGCATGGAGCACTTACAGGGAGCATTAGGAAAGGAAGCCATAGATCAGTGGAGTGGGAAGTGGAAGACAGGGGATGCAATGGGAAAGCAAGAGTAAACTGTGCTTTCATCATGTCTAGGAATGGCAAGAAGGATAGGAAATAGCATAGTTTTTTAAGCAGAAATGAGATAGGTGGAAAGCATTCTCAATGTATGTGCGTGGGGTTTGTGATTTGTTATGCATTATAAAAACAGGCAACAAAAGGGGAGGTAAGAAATATTAATGAATGAGCTATGAGGCTGGAATGCCTGGGTTTTAATCTCAAGTCTACCACTTACTGGTTAAAATTGGACAAATTACTGAATCTCCGTATACCTCAGTTTCCTCACCTGTAAAATGTAGATAATAATAGTATCTATTTTATTAATATTGCCGACGTTAATTATTTGCGGTAAATAATACATGCAATGTGCTTAAACCAATGTATAGTACATAACAAGCATTGGATACATTTGGCTCCCACTAGCTATATTTCCTATCTACCTAAGATTAGCTTAAATGGAAAAGGAATTTTAAAAACATGCTAGATAGCTCCTAAAATACGATTACTTCAATGACAACACTCTGACATGACTACTCAGGATTAGTAATGATAATGAAGTTTGCACTGATGTTAGAGACCCACACATAGTTCATGCCAACAAAAGCAGGGCCTGATGTCAGAAACTCTATCACGACTGCCTCCAAAGAACCAGATGCTACTGCTGCTTTGTCTGTGGCACTTTGCTCACTTTTGTGTTTGAGCACATCTGAGAAGAATCTGCACGTCAGTGACAAGGAAACCTGGCAGAATCAACTCTGGCTTCCTTAGGCTATGCTTGAAATGTGACAAATGCTCCAAATACAAGAAGGGTATTCCACAGATAGTTAACATCCAAAACACCCCATGGGTTAGTGGAGGCAAAAGTTTAACTGAAACTTCCCACATTAACCTCAGTCTTCGGTAACCTAAACAGTTTCTTTTTATATGAAGTAGTCTTATGGATAAAGAAACAATTGGAAGTTGCTTCCCATCAACACTGTTTTCTGCTTCCCCTCATTCTGCCGAAGAGAGCATTTAGGCTGGGAGAAAACATATCCCTCATGCAGTTGGGCAAAAGCCTCCCTCTGGCCTCCTGCTGGCTACTACCATGCTGATCTCCAGTAGAGCGAGCCTGGGCTGGTCTTTGATATGGCAGGAACCTGCATATGCATCTCCTCCCGGATTCTAAACAGGAAGTGGTATCAACCTTGCCCTTTTCTGGGCATTTTTTTTTTTTTCTATTTAATAACATGGGTCATGTTTGGACCTGTGGCCTACAGAGGGGCAACCAGGATGTGCAGGTCTCACCATAAACTTCATCCACCCCTGACCTGGCAATAGGACTGGAAAGATTTCCTACCTCCCCTTATGACACACCTTCTTCATGACATCCCTTGACTTCTCATCCCTGGTAATTAGAAAATATCTACAACCTAGGTGGTAAGGCAAATACTTAATACATCAGTGGGAGGTAAACGGTTTTACGATTTTTTTTTTTTCCTCCCAGCCAAGCCTGGCTTTCAAAACTTTTGGTCATGCTGTAGACTCAAATATTTTATTCTGAAGTAAAAAGCCAAATAGTGATGACCTCTGACTCAATCAGGTCCAGAGTCAACAATTCCAATCCTCCCAAAGTCAAACAGTTGACTCTGGCAGGATGAGGGGAAAGTCCTCCTCAGGAAGTGCAGAAAAGAACACTCATCTCTTTTTTAAATATTGCTATGGTTGTACATGGAAGAAACTTAGCATGTTTATATATCAAGAGTAAAAGACAAGTAGATAGGAGCTTAAGTCATACCAGAGGAAGCCAATTTGTAGGTTGCAGTGACCATGGTGGAGGATCGAGTATCCAAGCACCGTTAATAGGATGTCTTAAAAGAAGAGAGAGCTACTCCACTGAAACAGAAGAGAAAGGTGAGAGGTTTGCAATCATCAACCATTGCTAGACTTCCTCCCACTCACAAAATTTTCTGATTCTGTTTTTTTAAATTTATTTTGTAATGATTAAATGACTCTAACAATAAGTGAATTATAATGTTAAAAATGTGAATGCTGTGTAAGATGATTTGAAAGAACTAAAGATGGAAAGAATGAGGAGCTATAATATACAACAGAGTTACTTTAAATGGAATGCTGTTGCTGTAAGGAAATTTCCCATCCCTCTGTGATCCTCTCTTCAAACAAATTTAAGTCATTTTATTAGAAAAATAATAACCGTGTCCATTTGCGGCACCAATACAAGTGTCTTACTGTTTTTGTTCCAGATGAGAACATTAGCCAGACCCAAAGTCATATAAGTGGCCTATTCTCTGTATTAACTGGTTTGGGTTTTAACCAGGACAGATGCCTTGTCTTGTATAATATTTTCTTTCACTGTTTCCTTTTATTATGTTTCCTCTAATGCATTTTTTACTCAACTTTAGAGATGGAATATGGCAACCAGATTTTAGAGTATTAGCTCATTCAATAGGAAATGTATATTCCTGTTTCAAAATGAGCATCTGTCTGTTCTCTGGAATTTTAAATAATAACAATAGAACAACTACAGAGAAGCTTAAGATAGGAAATGAAAACCACCACTGTGTTCTGGAATACTTGGAAGGACACTCTAGGCAGAATGTAATTAAGTAGTTGGAATTTGTGGTTTAGGCCACCAGGGTTAAAACTATGCTTCCTGAGCAAAGTGCTTTAGATTTTTCAAAGATCAGAAAGTTTGGCACTATGTAGAATAATTAGAGG